GATTGGAAAGGAAGAAACAAAGCTATCATTATTCACAAATGATGTGATTATGTTTGTAAACTATCCAAAGGTATTCACAGACAAGCTGTTAGAAGAGTTCTCTGACACAGAAAATCAATTAGCTATGTAGAAAAACCAACTGCATTTCTATATAACAGCTAAAAAGGTAATATTTGCAATAGTATAAAAAAATGAAGTGCCTAGCAATAAATCTAACAAAAGATATATAAGACTTCTGAGGATCTGAGGAAAAAATTATAAGACTTTATTAAAACATTTAAAAAGACTCAGAGAAAGACTCAGTAGTGTAAGGGTATCTGTTGTTTTCACATTAATTCATAGACTCAATGCAATCCCAAATAAAATCCCAAAACTTTATTTGGGGATATGAAACCTGACTAACTTGATTCTAAAACTTTACATGGAAACATAAGGGGCTCAGACAAGTTAATACTCTCAAAGAAGATGAATGCCCTGTCAGATATCAGAACTTAAAAAAAAAAATTAAACCAGTGTGGTATAGGCATAGAATAGATCAACAGAATAGTCAGAATGCTCAGAAACAGACTCACACTCAGAAAGATGTGTGATGCCTCACAGAGGCAGAAACAATAGTCTTTTCAATAAATAAAGCTGGTATGATTGTATATCCATACAGAAGAAATTAGTTTTGATCTTTACCTACTACCACACACATAAGTTAATTTCAGATGAATTTCAGACCTAAACATGAGACACTAGGTTTAAGGCAGAAAATTATTTCATACAGAAAATATATTAAATTGATTTATTAAATTTAACATAGAAAATACATTAAATATAGACTTTAATATAAAGAATATCCTTATCCCTTGATTTCAAACTACATTACAAAGTGCAGTCAAAACAGTATGGTATTGGCATAAAAAAACAGACACAAAGATCAATGTTACAGAATAGAGAGCTCAGAAATAAACCCACACACATACGGTCAATTAATTTATGAAAAGAAGCCAAGAACACACAATGGGGAAAAGACAGTCTATTCAGCAAACAGTGCTGGGAAAATGGACAGCCACATGTGAAAGAATGAAATTGGACCACTGCCTTACACCACACACAAACATTAACTCAAAATGGATTAAAAACTTGAATGTAAGACCTAAAGCCATAAAACTCCTAGAAGAGAACACAGGTGGTAAGCTCCCTGACATAGTTCTTGGCAATGATTTTTTAAATCCAACACTAAAATCAGTAAAAGCAAAAATAAATTAAAACTATATCATACTAAAAAGCTTCTGCATAGCAAAGAAAACCACAGATGAAATGAAAAGGCAACCTACTGCATGGCAGAAAATACCTGCAAATCATATGTCTGATATGGGGCTAATATTCAAATTACATATATGACTCTTACAACTCAGGAGCAAAAAACAAAAACAAAACCCCCAAACAATCCAATTCTACAAAGGTCAAAAGACCTGAATAGACATTTCCCAAAAAGAAGACAAAGATAGTTAACAGCACGTGAAAAAGCTCAGGATCGTTAAATATCAGGGAAGTGCAAATCAAAACCACAATAAGATATCACCTCACACCTGTCAGAATAGCTAAAATTTATAAAAAAAAAAAGAAAAAAGAAATAAAGAAGGAAAGAAAAGAAAGAAAGAAAGAAAGAAAAGAAAGAAAAGGAAAAGAAAGAAAAGAAAAGAAAAGAAAAGAAAAGAAAAGAAAAGAAAAGAAAAAAAAGAAAGAACAAGTGTTAGCATGTGGAGAAAAGAGAACTCTTGTACACTGTTGGTGGTAATGTAAATTGGTGCAGTCATTATGGAAAACAGTACTGAGGTTCCTCAAAATATTAAAAATAGAACTACCACATGATTCAGCAATTTTATTTGTGGGTATTTATCTGGGAAAAAAAAAAACAACCAAAAACACTAACTCTAAAAGATATATGGATCCTCATGTTCATGACAGCAATGTTTATAATAACCAAGATATGGAAACAACCTAAGTATTCATAAATAGATGAATGGATGAAGAAACTGTGATATAGAAACATAAAAAAAAAAAAACCAAGCTTACAGTGACAGAGAACAGAATGGTGGCTGCCAGAGGTGGGGCGGGGGGGGGGGTGGGGGGGAGGCTGAGAGTAGTGGATTAAAGGGATCAAAAGGCAAAAAGGAAAAAGAAAGAAAATATCTTCATGACCTTGGAATAGCGAAGGATACCTTACACGAGGTACAAAAAGCACAAGCCATAAAGGAAATGATTTAAAAATTTGACCATATCAACATTTAAAACTTCTGTTTATGAGGAAATACCATAGGAGAGTTAGACGAGCCACACAGTGAGAGAAGTTAGCCACATGTACAACTACCAGAAGCCTAGGATCCAGAATGTACAAGGATCTCAGCAAACAGTTCAAAGGAGGTAGACAACAGAAAACAAACACGGTCCGCTTCACAAAAGAGGAAATCCATATGGCCATGAATATATGAAAAAGTGACCAACCTCTGTTTCTAGTAAACAAAGAAAAAAGCAAAGTAAAACCACAAAGAAATAAGAACACACACCCTTGTTTAGGGGGGAAAAAGTACGACAATACTAAGTGCTGACAAGGACATGGAAAAATTCTGGAACACAGGAGAGGTAAAGAGAAGCGTATCCCATGAGCCCACGGTGCCCCTCTTAGGCTGACAGAGCAAGTCATGCCAGCAGCACCGGGAGGCAGCCGTGAGGACGGCAGGCGGGGCCCCGGTTTCCCAAACTACTACCGGGGGACACTGATCAGCAGGGGTCCCAGAAGCCGCCATGCACCACACCCTAATGTGGGGCAGAAGAGGCGACGCACAAAGGAAGATGTGCAGTGTGACTCCATTTACCCAGGATTCCAAATCAAGCAGAACCAAAGGATAATATTCAGGGAGTGCTCAGATTCCTTTTTAAGGCAAGAAAATTATCATAAAAAACGAAGAGCTGTTACCAGGTTACCTGTGGGAGGAGGAAGAGACGCAATCCCGAAGCGACCGCGGGAGGCTTCAGGTGGGCTGGCGAGGCGCCCGGTTCCACAGGTGTCTCTTTTTGAATTCTTCATTAACCTATGCATTTGTGGTCTACGAACCTTTTTTTTTTTTTTGCACACCTGTTGTATTTTATGATAAAAATGACAAAATAAATATGTAAATTTTAGAGCCTGCTTTGGGGACACAGGGGGCAAGTGTTGTGTTATGGTAAGCAAGCACAGGAAGACTGGAGAACGGTGGCAATCAGACTGCGAACGAGAGCGGGGGCTACCTGCCACAGGCCCTCCTCCAGGCCGCACAGAACCGGCCCGCGGCAAGCCTGCGCTCCCCCACAGCGGCAACAGGGCAGTGGGCATGCTCGGGGAGCACGGAACAGGCCTAGACCCCAACCGCCTTGTTAGCAGAAACCATCACAAGGTCGTGAGCAAAAAGAACCCAGCGTGAAGCTCCTTCTGCTTTCAGGGAGCCCATGGTGGAGAAAGGCGCCGCAAGCCGACAGGGCCTCAGGGAGACAGAAACCAGCAGGGGCCGCGGGGGCACGGAAGGGAAGGAGGGCCGAGCCTGGGGGCTGCTCCCCCAGCCCTGGGCCCCCTCATTCACATCTCTCACTCCGACCTCGACAGCATCTTTACCCTCCCTCCATCCTCCACCCAAGGCCTCTGCCCCCCAGTCCCTCCCGCTGCAGCAGGCCATCCTGAGCGCTAGGAGGAGCAAGGCTGTGGCCTCCCCTGAACACTGCTCCTCCCTCAGCCCAGCCAGGGCCCCCTGGAGCCTGGCCTCTAACAGGGCTCACTCCACCTGCAACTCTGAAAAGGTCACTTGCGGTCATCTAATTAGGTTGCCTTGCTCATTTCATACAAATTATTTAAGCTCACACACACACACACACACACACACACAAAATATTTTGAATTTCCCTTTTCTATAGAATAGTAATGACTTAGAAGCACAAGAAACACAATCACTGGCAGCATGCAGACGACCAGCACATCACAGACAACCTAGAGTCCCCTGTGCCCCAACTCTGTGAGAGCCCAGCCTCCACATGGCAGCACCTGGAGTGCCCAGGCCAGTCATCACCAGCCTCTCCCTTAAATCTATCTGCTCTCTGCTGCTCTTACAGACACTGCCTGACTGCAGGTCCTCATTCATGGGCTCTTCCGTGACCCAGCAGGGACGGTGCTCTTTCCACCCCCCAACTGCTCCCCTTAATCCATGCTTCAGGGTCCCTAGACCAAGCCTCCCAACACTGCTCAGACCCCTCCACACCTCACACATATTCGCTGACTCCTAGTGGCTCACAGAGACCTAAGCCATCCTGCCCAACACTCTAAGGTCTCCAGTCTGCCTTCTCAGCCTCTTCCCTGGCCACACTGCTCCCCACACCCAGGACTCCTACCCCACGATCCTCCATACCCTCCGGCCCAGCTGCACACCATGGCCACTTCTGAAGTCTGGAAGGTGTGTCTCCACAGCTCTGCTTACCAAATACCTGCTCCTTCCAATAATACTGCATCTGTTAAGAACTTCCTGTCCTGCTGTGACCCTTCTGTGCTCTGTGCACCTACAAGGCTACACTTGAACTTAACTTGAAGCATTTAATTCACTTAGCACTTCTGCCAAGCTCTAAATTTTCCTCCCCAAGCTTAGGCCTCCCCATTTCAGCATATGGAGCTGCCTACCACCCACCTGGTTGCTCAGACCCAAATGCTAGGAGTCCTGTGTGATGCTTGCCTCCTCTCCTGGACTTAGGAAGCCCTCCAGAGCCCCATTAGCACCATTTTCAGAATGCGGCCTCACTCCAGGCTTCTCCCCAGCCCCACTTTGGGGTCAGGCCACCATCTCCTGAGAACCCCCTTCCTTGGTGCCCTTCTCTTCTAATCTCTTTTCCACAAAGGAAGCAGCAAGACCCTTTCAAAACAAAGCCAATCATATTATTCCCTTTGTTAAAGGACTCCCTTGATATTCCATTGATCTGAAGATAAAAGTTCTTACCTTTTCAAAAGCCTGAATTACCATGCTGGCTGCAGAGCAGATTAGAATTCCCTTGGGAACAAAATAAAACAAAATAGCAGCAACAAAAGAGACTCCAATTTAATTTGTCTTGGGTGAGATCCAGGTAAATTTTTAAGTTCCTGCAGACACTGCTAACATGAAGCCTGGAGCTAAGAACCACAGAACCAGGGGCTGTCCCTAACTCCTCCCAATCTCATTTCTCTTCCACCCCTTCCCTACTGTGCTTTGCTTTTTTTGTTTCTCAAAGATTTCAAACTCAACTCTTCTCTTCTCTTCTCTTCTCTTCTCTTCTCTTCTCTTCTCTTCTCTTCTCTTTTCTCTTCTCCTTTCCTTTCTTTCTTTCTTTCTTTCTTTCTTTCTTTCTTTCTTTCTTTCTTTCTTTTTCTTTCCTGGAGGCTTTTGCAAAAAAATTTTCTACCCCTTGTATTTCTGCACTCTATCTAGCCCACCTCATAATGCTCACTCCTTCATCACCTATCCGAATTCATCTTAAATATCAATTTCTTAAAGAAGCCTCCTTGGATCACCCAATCATAAGAAGTCTTTATGTAGCATATCTCACTTTAATTCTCTGCTTGGCACTCACATTCTCCTACATCTCTCTTGTTTATTGTCTATTCTCCTCCCTGGAACATAAATTCCATGAAAGTAAAATCCTTATCTGTGTTGTTCATCCCACATTCCCAAGCTCCTAGAGCAGTGCCTGGCACACAACAGTCATCCAGTAAATATTTTTGGAATAAATGAGTGATAAGCAAGGGGACATATCCAGGTCACCTCCATCTATCATGCTGAGCGGCGCTTTGCATGCAGAAGGACCTCAGTGAGTCCATCCCATTTCAGAAACTGAAAACAATCATTATATCACAAATTTGGCTAAACGTGTAAGGTTATGGTCATCCTTACTGAAAAATATCCTTTCCCTATCCTATACATAGAGAATAAACCTAAAGTCACTCTAAAGACTAAAACCCAACTTTCAGAAGTTTTAAACTGATAAACATCATACAACAAGATTACCAGTCTATCTGACTCTCAGAATGACTAAATTTTAAATAAAGCATCCCTTCAATCTCCTTTGACATAAACTGTCACTCCTCTAGGTAATGGAGCATGACTGCTTACTTGCCAGAGTAGGACTATGACATTCTTCGACATTATGTAAAATTTTCAAATTCAATCTTTTAACCTATATTTATGACATTCATTCATATGATCAGGCTGTCAGAGATATTTCTTTTAAATTAAAGGTTCCCTAATAATCAGTTTCAGTGAAAATAAACAGGAAGGCCAAAGGATAAACGAGAGATACGCAAATATTATTTTCTCTAGCTGCACTTTTTGGATCCTAAAGGTAGAGGCACTTGTAGTCACACATTAGAGAAACACAGGCTGGTCTAGTCTTTAAGTGCCCATTTCTAGTTATGGGAGAAAATCATCATGAAAAAAGAACTTCCACTTTTTAATGAACTGACTGATGATCTCCAAAAAGATGCATCTACATCCTGATCCCCAGGACCTGTGAACATTATCTCACATGCCCAAAGAGTGAGTATTGCCTTCTGTGGCAAAAAATGTGGTGAAGTTAACCATCTCCAGAGGAAGAGCTTATCATGGATTATCTGGGTGGGCCCTAAATGCCATCCCATGAAGAGAGAGGCAGAGCAGATGCTGACACAGAAGAGAAGACGACAATGTGATCAGAAGAGGAGGAGGCAGAGACTAACTAGAGTGATATGGGCAAAAGCCAACCAATGCCTGGAACTTCCAGTTGCTACAGGAGGCAAGAAATGGATTCTGCTTGGAGCTTTCTCTAGGATTCTCCTTCAGAGAGAACACAGCCCTGCTGACACCTTGATTTTAAACTTCTGGCCTCCAGAACTGTGAGAGAATACTTTTCTACAGTTTGAAGTCTCCTAGTCTGTGGTCATTTGTTACAAAGCCACAGGAACCTAATATACACTTAACTGATCATTAATATGTGCTAGACATTATGAGAGAGCATGGCATGAGACATTTGACCTCTATGGAAAACAAGTTTTTGTTTCAAGGAAATACATTTCTTTAACATTTACATTTTAAACAAATATAATTAAAATATACTCAATTTCCATTTTGCAAGACATATCTACATCACAGTGTTCTATTCTCCTTAGGATTTAAAGCTATTCAACTTGATGTTTCTGTAAGGTAGTTTCCCATCTGAAAATGCAAGACGAAAATTCTTACAAGGATTCTTGTAGGAATAATGTGGAAAAGGATGATAAAAGACTACCACTCAAAGATCTATAGAGCAAAAATAGCCCTTTGGAGAATAGTTACTGCCAACCTTCCTTCTAAGAAAGGGAACACAAAGGCTTGCAAGGGTAAGGCCCTTGGCATGAGAACCAGTCAGACTTCAGGTCCATTCTGGCTCAAAGCCTTTTGCACAGCAATGCTGCCCACAAAAGGGTGAGAATGATATTTTCAATTCACCCATACTCTGTTCTTCTTGGTACAGGGGTGAGTTTTCTCTAATGACATGCAAACATTCGGTCACCTTTACGGCTATTGTGAAATATGAGGTTGGACTACAGATTGTTTCAACTGAAAAGACTCAAGCCAAGGCTTGATACAGGCAGAAAATCACAAACAAAAACCCAAAATGTGATGATAAGGAGCCAGTACTCCCTTCCTCAGAACCAGACTTCCACCAAGACACAGAGTAAAAGGATCTGCCTGGAACCCATTCCAGGTAATATCAAACAATCTAAAAGATCATGCCTTAATGAGCATGGGTCAGTACTGCCATCTTCCATTAAAGAGACTGTGTGACGAAGAGAAAAGCTGTGATAAAATTCATCATCAGCCAGATACAAGCTTTTAACAATCGGAATAGAAGGCAACTAACTTCCTTAAACTGGTATTTATCAAATTCCTACCACAGGCATCATATTTCCCTGTGAAATGTTAAAAGTGTTCCTTTTGGGATCAGGAATAAGAAAAGGATGCCCACAACCATTCCCTTCAACACTGTACTCAAGATCCAAGCTTTACAGCAGGACCAAAAAAAAAAAAAAAGGAAAATATAAGGAACAGCAAAGAAGAAATAAAATTGTCATCATTTACTGATGTGTGATTATATCTGTAAAAAGGCCAGAAGAAAACACAGATAAAATATTACAATAAACAGAGTTTAACAAGGTTACTAGATACAAAATTCAATATGGAAAAATCAATTGTATTTCAATATACCAGCACAAAGAGTTAGAAAATTAAATATTAAAAAAATGCCATTGACAATATCATCTAAAATACAAAAGTATCTCAAAATGGATTTAACAAAAGACCAAAACCAGTAACTAGAAAATTATACAACATGACTGAGTTTTCTAAAAAGTACTTAGGTATAAGGATAGTCTCGACAAATGAAAGAAAAACTGAATACATTTATCACTATATTTTCTTGTCCAAACAATGCTCTTTGGGTTTGGGGGGTTTGGTTTTTGGTTTTTTGAGAGAGAGGGAGAGCATGCACATGAGCAACGGGTGGGGTGAGGAGGACAGTGGGAGACCGAGAATCTTATGCAGGCTCTGCAGGGCTCAATCTCACAAACATGAGATCACAACCTGAGCTGAAATCAAGAGTGGGATGCTTAACTAACTGAGCCACCCAGAAACCCCCAAACAATATTTTTTGAAACCTAGAGCTATTTTGATATGTCATATAAGAATTCTGATCAGGGAGGTACAATGTAGGTTCTGGTGATAGACTAGATTCCTGTCATTATCCCATGTCTTAACCAAACATTGAAGAAACATTTGAGTTCCCACACTAAGTATTATAGTAACTGTGAAAAACAAAAAGACATTAAGTCCTATAATGTTATAATGAATATAAAGAAAAGTTGTTAGAATATAAGATCTAAAGTGGCATTTTATGGATATTTATAAAACTTCAACACATCTGAGATTTTACTTGCCCAACCGTTTAGAATAAGTGGTCGAAACCAATGGATATAAACTGGGGTCAATTCATCCTTGCATGGGAATTATTTAGAATATTTGCCTTATTTTTCAGTCATTCCCCTGTTCGAACTACCTTTAAATGTAGATGGAATGGACAGCTTCCCTTAATGTGAAATTTATAAAGTATACTTCTCAAAATTTTCCATTAGCCTCAAAACATCAAAAGTCCAAGTATCAATGGTTAGTTAGCTCCTTTGAGCTAAGACACTATGTCACCTGGAATCCATTTTCAAAAGGAAAACACTTCTTAGAGGAGGTAACAGAAATGAACACCAATCTTAATTTACCTGACTCATAAGCAAGATTTTGGTGAATCAATTCTGACAATATAGAGGAGAAAGGCAGTGCTTTTAGAGACAGATTCAGAGGACATAGCACTACCATTAGCCAGCTGGGTTGGCACAGGGAGGTATCCGGGAAAATACAAAGCTAATGACACTGCAGTGCTACAGGAAAAGTGAAAAGACACTAGAAAAAGCAAATGCATCTGAAAATCTGGCTGAGGACACCGTTCTGCTATCAAGACGTTTTGAGGAGACTATTGATTATGGCACTTTATCATAGTCTGACTTGCACTGCTGATGGCCTGTTCTCTATAGTACCCTAGTGGTATATAGTAAACCCAGAAAAACAGAGGTTGTATTTAATTCTGTTACAGACCCCATAGCACAATAAATTGGCACTTTGAACACAGTGGGCACTCAATAATATCACTTGAATTAAAAATTAATTGAAAAACAAGTAACTGAGTTCTGGAGGATATAAAAATTATATTTTTAAATTAGAGCTAGCATTTTTTTTAATGTTAAGTTGGTTGCTGACAATGCCAAGCATTGGCAAAGATGTGAAGCAACTGGGTAACTTCCATACACTGCTGGTGGGAGTCTAAATTGACACAGTCCATTTGGAAAACTGTTGATTAGTGTATTCTAAAGACAAATACAGGCCTACTCTATGACCCAGTAATCCAAAAACAGATATCCACTACATAACATATACAAAGATATTTACTCATAGAGAAGCTTTATGCGTGATAGCCCCAAATTGGAAAAAACAGTAAAATTGATAAATAAACTGTAGTACAGTCATACAATAGAATACTATACAATAACAAAAAAAGAACCAATCATCCAGCAACATATAATTGACCTCACAGACACATCTTATAATGCCATTTATGTGAAGTTCAAAAATAGGCAAAACTAATCCAAGAGGTTGGAGTAGACTAGATGTCAGAATACTGGTTATTTGGGGGGGGGGAGAGGTATTAACTGTGAAAGACAGGGTAGACAGGGAGCCTTCTGGGGGGCCAGATGTGTTCTAAATCTTGATCTGGGTAGTGATTACATGGATATATTCACATGTAAAACTTCACTGAGCTGTACACTTAAGAGACCTGTGTACTTTATATAATGTGTTTATATAAATTATACCTTATTTAAAAGGTAAACAAGAAAGAAAATGTTGGCTGTTTTCCAATACTTAATATTCGTTTTAATCATTTTAATTAAGGGAAGCCAATTTTCTTTAAACATATTATTGCTGTTGGCTATAATTTGAATGTCTGAATACTTGAAAAAACACTGGCCAATCATATAAGGAACAGTACTCTCTCCTCTATACAGATATATGAGCTGTTCTAACTGTCTCAACAGTTTGATCCTCATTAACATCTAAAGGGAGCCCTAATCAAAATCTAGACATAAACAGAAAGCAAGAGGTAATGAGGACAGGCACAGAAATGAGTA